GTCTGCCTCTATAGCAAAAGGTGGGTGAGGTCTGCCGCCACAGATAGCAAAAAGGTCAGCAGGTCATTACCAATATCCACTCCCAGCCTTCTGGGAGGGAAAACAGGTATTTTGGGAAGAGGTCCCTGTGTGTTTAACATTCCTGGTTTCCCTAGTGATCTGTGGGTGCAAAGACCTTTGTGCCCCCAACAATCAACCAAAAGATGGACGTTTTTTAGAAGGGACTGGTAAGGTGGCTCAGTGAGCTTGCCACCGAGTTCTGAATACGATACCCAAGATCCAGTGGCAAAAGGGAGAGTAACTGAAAGTTGTCCTCTGACCTCCATAACACATGACATGGCGTACACACACACACACACCCACACACATACACACACACACACACACACACACACACACACAGAGAGAGAGAGAGAGAGAGAGAGAGAGAGAGAGAGGAAGCAAGAAGCAATGGCAGTAGCGGCTGAGTTTCCTCTCACTAACCCTCCCATAATACCTGTCACGAGCTGCTGTGCTAATCAAACTCCTCACTAAGGGACTTCCAGTGCAGCAGGCATCCCCCCCCCCACACACATACTATTGAGACACTGTGGGACTGCAGTACCCATCTGTAGGTGCCTGGCTGCCATCTATACAGCTGTGATGCCCATGATCTTTATGTGATGTATAGAAAAATAGATCAGACAGGCTTGCTGTCTGGGATTCCCGATTTCCAGTTCAGCATCTTCACCTTGGTCTGGAGGGGATGTGAATTGCTATGAATCCAGAGGCAGGTTGGGGCTGGGGCTCAGTTAGGCCAGAGTGCTCGCCCAGCATGCAGGAAGTCCTAGGCTTCATCCCTAGCACTGTATGAACTGGGCATGATGGTGCATGTCTATCATCCCAGCACTTGGGAAGTGGAGGCAGGAGGATCAGGAGTTCAAGGTCATCCTTGGCTACCTAGTGAGTTTGAGGCCATCTGGGATACATGAGACCCTGTCTCAAAACCATTAACATCACAGGAGACATTTTTAGGGATATAGTTATCCTACAAAAGGAAGCTTGGTACCAGTGTCTGGCTGAGTGGGAGGCAGCCAGAAAATAGGAAAGAGGGGAGAAACCCAAGGATGGGACAGCACCAAAAATGCTGTGGTGACAGAGGGTTTCCTGGGCTCTTCTCTTTAGAGAGCGCATTCTCTCGGGCAAGCTGGTGCGCAGAGCCGAGAAACGACTGAAGGAGGTGGTTCTTCAGGTGGATGAAGAGCGCAGGGTGGCCGACCAGCTCCGGGACCAGGTGAGCAGTTGACATCACCACAAACAGTGGGTAGTGGGATCAAAACCAGAAAATAACACTGCTAGCCTGGCCTGGCAGGTGGCTCAGTGGGTTATCCCAGCTATGGTGGAAGCTAAGGCAGGAGGATCGCTTTGTGTTCCAGGAGAGCCTATGCTACAGTGAGAGACCCCCTTCTCAAACCAGGAGCAACAATGAAAAATAGCCTGTAGTCTGTAGGTGACAGAGCCTGTATGTGACTCCAGGTCTATGCTCAGATAGAATACCCGTGACCTTAAAAGCTCAGCTGTGCCATGTTTGCTATTCATTCCACAGATGATTATGGAGCATGGCCTTTGTGCCAGGCACATTGCTAGGCATTAGAAGTAAGGTGCTGGGAAGGTTCCAGAAGGTCCTGGCCCTCACAGGGCTCACATTACCAGCCTAGGAAAGGTATACACACAACCAAAGATAATGCCAGACTTTGGTGAGGGCTGTGAAAGAAAAGAATGAAGACACAAGAATGGAGAGCCTTGTCCAAGTTGGGTGTTGGAAAGGCCTATGGAGGTGACATTTGAATTAAGACCTGATAGGAGAAGAACACCCAGATGGAAAGAGCAGGAGGTTCAAAGTCCCTGAAGAAATGAAGCAAGCAGAATGAATCAGTATAGTCAGAGAGAGGAATATAAGAAATGAAGTCAGGCTGGGGATGTGGCTCAGTTGGTTGAGTGCTTACCTAACATGCACAAGACCCTGGTTTTGATCCCCAGCATTGCACTTGGGAGATGAAGGCAGGACCACCAGAAGTTTAAGGTCATCTTTAGCTACACACGGATTTCAAGGCCAGCCTACACTACATGAGACAAACGAAGTCGCATGATGTGTGTGTGTTCTCACCCTGGAGAGAGGTGGCAGTGTCTGGGGAGATCAGGGTGAATTTGATGTGGTCTCTGGCTTCATCAGAGACATGGACATGAGGGAGTTTATGTTAGGTCTGGCCTCTTACCCAGCAGTCCTGGGGAGCCAAAGGAGAGCTGGGGGGTGCTGCTCTGAGTGTGCTGGCGCCCCTCCAATGCTGTCACATGACTTCCAAGGAGCCACATGTTCATACCAGACAGAGCCCTGACAGGTCAAGGAACTAATTCCACCAGGCCAGTTTGGTAAGCCAGTGAGTGTATTGGGGTCACTTACAGGACCCTGAGTGACTCAAAGATAGCTGCGGCACCAAGAAATCTCACCCCAGCGTGAGTGATGGGCTCACAAACCCTGCAGCCCCTGAGGCTCAGCCCTGTCTCCTTCCCTCGGGCCTCCTATATGCTCTTGAACCCCAAAGACCACAGGCAATGGATGGGGGGCAGAATCTCACTGGGAAGGTTAGGTGTCCTCTGCTCCTTGGATTGCTGGCAGCCTAGTCTCGGTTGCCCAACAACCAGCTGTCTTGTGCATATTTTGTTGCCATAACTGTGAAGGTCTCAGTAGGTCCCCACTACTAGGCACTGGGGGGCATCATGAGAATGAGCTGGTCCCCTCCTCCACTCAGCTGGAGAAAGGCAACCTCCGCCTGAAGCAGCTCAAGCGGCAGCTGGAGGAAGCAGAGGAGGAAGCATCCCGGGCGCAGGCTGGCCGGCGGCGGCTGCAACGGGAACTGGAGGATGTCACAGAGTCGGCGGAGTCTATGAACCGGGAGGTGACCACGCTGAGGAACAGGCTCCGGTAAGCCACCCAAAAGAGGAGAGTAAGACCTGGCCTGCATGGGGATGGGACCCTGGGGTGGGGAGGAGGCTATGACTGCCCTGTCTTCCCGAACCTGCGCTTTTCAGTCCCCTCCCTCAGGTGCCTTTGACCTCAGCTTCTCGTGTCCCTGTCTGCATCTTTGGCCCCCCATCACTTATGGACTCTTTTCCCACAGGCGTGGCCCACTCACCTTCACCACCCGCACTGTGCGCCAAGTGTTCAGGCTGGAGGAGGGCGTGGCTTCTGACGAGGAGGAGGCTGAAGGGGCGGAATCTGGGCCTGCACCACCCCAGGAACCTGAGGCTCCACCCCCCGCCACACCCCAGTGATCCAGTCTGCCCTAGATGCCCCAAGGACAGGGGCTGTCCCAGTGTCCCTCCTGGCTTGCACTTTGAAATGATGCTGCCCTCTGGCACTTTTCTTGGCATTGACGAACCCTACTGGGACCCCAGGACCCCCGCCCACTGGGGCTCCAAATCAAGGCCCTAAACCAAGGAGCCGGGTGCCAGGGAGGCAAGAACGGCCACTCTTGTTAAGGAGACAGAATGAGCATGGATGGCAAGGATGTCCTGTCTGCTCCTATTTTCAGCACGCCTGTCCCCTGCAGGCAGCCTCCATCACCTCCCAGTGTCCTGCCCTCTTTTTTGGGGTGGGGGAAGGTCCATGTGCTCACAGGGTAGTGTTCAGGTCCCTCATGCTCCAGGCACTGAAGAAATAAACTACACCTGACTGGATCCTTCACCATGGCTGTGTTCTTAATTGGGGACCGGAGTGCGAGGGGCTTCCTTGGCTGCTATAGTATGTGAGATCCTCCCTAGGGTCGGTATTTACTGTACAGTACAAAGTAAAGGTGTTCCACTATGTGCTGGGCAAACCATCGTCTCCTCAGCGTCTTTGAGCAATTGCTGAGGGAATGAAGTACATCTTTCTGGCCCTTTCTGAGTGTTAGTAACTAGCCTCGGGGCACACAGAAGAGTGAACCAGGACCCAGACTCCAGTCTGGCTTCAGAGTTGGTAATCCCACAGGAAGACATAGTTGTTATAAGCATCTTGCATACCTAGGACACTCTCCCTGGGTTCTAGGACTCAAGTCCTGTATATTCTTTCATATATTCCTGTTAAGAGGGCTGTTCATGTTTGTCATCAAGGAAAGCAAGGCCAGCACTTGCCCCAGTGCCCAAGGACGCCAAAAGATCAGGTCCCATGGGGGATTCTTGGCAGGAGCTCTGCCACTGAGCCACATCCCAGCCCCTCACTGGGGGATTCTGGGAAAGTTTGTTCCCAGCCCAGGCTGTGTTCCCCCTACCCCTTGAGAGGGATGATAGGCCGGCATCACCCAGCCCAGCTCCCACCTCTGTGCACCCCAAATGCAAATCAGAAAAGCCACTTTTAAATGAAAAGGAATCATTTATTGGGCTGGGGAGGGGCATGACACTGTTTTTTTGTGGGGGAGGGCTGACATGCGGCAGCTTCTGCATGGGTGGTTCATGCACCCTGGGTGGGCGTGGGGGAGGCTTGGGGGAGGAGCCTACCGACCCCTCCCTCCCTGCCTGCGGGTGGGCCAGGAAGACCCGCCGTTAGCACCAGTTGCAGACCTCCCCTCCCCCAGACTCAGGACCCGCCCCCATCCCTGAGAGCGCCCCTTGGCCAGCCCCTCCCGCGCCAGGCCAGGCCAGGCCCGTCTGCCCACTAGAAGTAGAGAAACTTATTGCTGTGAGTGTATGGGGAAGGAGGGGAGCTGCTGAGCTCAGGAAGACCCCCTTGCCCCCTGCCAATCATTCCTCCCCATCGCCCCGCCCCCAGCCCTAAGTCCGTGCGTCCCCCCACCAGCGCAGGAGGGGTGCGCGACGCATGCGTGTGTGCGTGTGTGTATGTGTGTGTGGGGGCGCGTCATGCAGCGCATGCGTGCAGTTGCAGGCACCCTGGCGGCCATGGGGAAAAGGGAGACCAGGACCTGGCTCTCCCTCCCCGAACCCCACACTATTTGGTAAATTGGGAGATATGAAGGGGGCAAAAATCACGTTTTGTAGACATTTATAATGATGGTAGCTTTTTTTTTTTAAAGCTTAACTAAAAAGCTGAATACGTGTGGGAAGCTGGAGAGCAGGAAGAGACAGTGGGAAGTGGTTGGTATCCTTCAAAAAGGACTCTTACCCCTTTTCCCCGTCCCATTTGTCTCTTTTGAGGGACGGGAGCCTGGGGGGGGGGGGCGAGATAATAGGGGCTATTTAAAGAAGTTGAACCCTTTGGCAATATTAGGAGTCCTCACCCCATACCCTGGTGTCTGGAGTCCCCTAGCCCTTTACCCTGCCCCTACCACATCCCACCCCACCCCTCAACCCCTGTCTCACCAGGGTTTAAAGTCCCAAGGGAAGGCTGGGGGCGGGGGACTCAAAATGCCCCTTGCATAGGAATCGTTGCATCAAGAATTGGGCCCAAGGACACTCCCACCGACACTCTGGTGGCGGTGGGAGGGTAACCTGAGGCTGTGGGAACAAGGGAGAGATTGCTAATTCTGCTGACCACCCTGCTCCAAAGGGGAGTTTAGGATTCTGGGACCAGTGTGGTCTCTGGGCTTGGGGGAGGTAGCATACTGGAGCCAAGATGGGATTTGAGAAAGTTTTCCACCACGAACGTGGCACGTGGTGGACAAGGAACGCTGGGAAGGGCAGGCTGAGGTCCTAGCCCAGGTGGGCATGTCCTCTTTTCCTACCACGTGGACCACAGCTTCTATGATCACTTTGGGGCTGTTTTAGGGGAAGAGGGGTTGCCGGAGATTGAACCCCGGGGACCTTAGCACATTAGGCAAGCTGTGTGCTTGACTGTCCTTAACTTGCTTTCAAGGTCAACACCCAACTGCTGCGCTGCCAGGACGCACTAGCCAGGTATGCGCTTGTGCCTGGCGCGTCCATGTTTTAACTACTTGGTCGTTTGTGCACTCTGCAAACTACAGCACACGAAGAGGGAACAGGGAACAGGAGTCTCACACTCTGGGAAACTGTGTGTTTTGGCACCATCTCGGTGAAAGGGGCTTTGAGGAAGGGGCTGCCTAGACAGATGCTGGATGGGGTGGGAGCTCCCTGGAATCAGACAGGCTGAGCCTGTTCAGGAAGGTCTGGCATCAGAGACGCCTGGGACTGAGGAGTGTGATGTCAGGAGGTTGGAGCTGTCGGGGTGTGGGGTGTGGGGGTGAGCTTAATGTATATGGGTGTGTCTGGGCAATGTTTGGGCCATGAGGACTGTCAGGTCCTGGAGGCTGAAAGTGAGCTGAGGAATACAAGGGTCTGGGAGGGTGGAAGAACACTGCGATGCAGGCCAGGTCAGTGGTGGATGAGTGGAATGATGGAGGTGTGGAGTGTGGGGCGCCGGCGTGCGCGGGGATGGGAGTGCAGGGTGCCAGGGTCAATCTCCGGAAGTTTAGGGTGCTAGTCTCATGTTCTGGGATAGAGTGGAGACAGGGTGGGGTGGAGGGTTCTGGGCCTGGAGGGCTAAGTCCATGCAGTGACTAGAGGGAGCAGCAGATCCCTGGAGGCGGGCGTGGGTGGAATGCACCAGCTGGAGTCCTCCAAGCCCGGGAGCAGCTGACAGAACCCCCACCCCGCAGCTGAGCTCCTCAAGGCTGCGGCTGATTAACCTGCTTTCCTTTCCATACATGTTCCTAGAGGGTTTTTTGTTTGGTTTTCCTGAATCGATTAGTGATGGGTGGGTCACCCTTTTGGGGAGTGATCAGGAAACCCCTAAAATGCCAGCCCCGACCCCAGAAGCTCCCAGCGGCCTTCCCTCCAACTCTCTGCACGCAGCTCCTGGCGGCTTATTGCTGAAGAGGGGGTCCGGGAGGCATGCAAACTGAGGTGGGTGCCCCAAGATGGAATCAGCTTTTAGTTATTTACAGGAGTCGATGGGAGGGGTGTTCTATGGCTCATGGAGACCTGAGGTTTGCTTTTTTTTTTTTTTTTTTTTTGGAGAGGGAGAGGTGGGGGAGCACAGGCTCCGGCCCCGCCCCCTCTATCCTGGGGGCTCTAGTATGTGGGGAGTGAGAGGCCGGGGGTGTCTGCTGGCATCATCTCTTTTGCATATTATTAGTGACTTTTTTTTAAAAAGAACCCTTTCCCCACCCCCCACTCCCAGCTCTTTTTGATCTTCCGATCACCCCCAGTCCCCCCACAGGGGGGAGGGAAGCACTAGAGGATGGAGGGCAGGGTGGGGGGAGCTCGGCGCGTGGCCCGGGGTGAGCCAGGGGGAGTGGCGAGGGGCGCGAGGCGCAGGGACACCCCGCTCAGGCCCACAATGCTGCTCAGGCTGCGGGACTTCTCGTAACCTGGGGAAGGAGCAGAGACAAGGGTGGGGGGGGGGGGGCGCGGGGTTGGGAGCCAGGGTGAGGGCACACAGAGACCCCAACAGGGAGAGAGAGGGGTGGAGAGGAGAGACACCCATAGGCAGGATGGGCGGGCCGAGGAGATGGAGAGAGAGGTGAAGAAATCGCAGTCAGTGGGCATCCACAAGAAAGGTGCAGACAGAGGGAAGGGGAGAGACAGGATTAGGAGGTGGGTGGTGCCCACTAAACCTCCCCACCCAACCTGCCCACCCCTCTTCTCTCCCTTCCCACGGTCCCCTGGTCTGAGGCCCAAAGGCAGCATTTGGCGAGGTGGGATGGTGGGCGGCAGGGGCTGGGGTGGAGGCAGCAGCTGGTGGAGGGGGCTGCGCGGGGGGGAGCTGGGGGCCTGGTGCAGGAGGGGGAGGAGATTCCCTGGGACCTTGTGATAAGAGTTCACCGTGTAGCCCAGGCTGTCCTCAATCGCACTATGTTGCCCAGGCTGTCCTAGAACATACTATATAGCTTAGGTTGGCCTCAAATTATGTAGCCCAGGCTGGCCTCAGTCTCACTGTGTAGCCCAAACTGGCCTCAAACTCACTATTTAGCCCAGGCTGACTTCAAATTCAGTAGGTAGGTAGCCTTGGACTAAGAGTCATGAGCCATTACACTCAGCATGGAGATCTTTCAAGAGTCCAGGACATGGGATAAGGTGGAGGATTCCAAAATTGGATGGGATCTGCTGGTGACAGGAAGCAGTAAGGTCACACAGCTCATGGGATCCCACATCAGGACCATGTGGGTGAGAGGTTTTTGTTTTTTTCTTTTTTGTTTTCTCTGCCAGCACCAGGGACTGGGATGGCTTTTCTAAGCATCCCAGGCTGGGAGGTGATACTCTAACTGCAGGAGGGTGCCCGGGGTGGGGGACAGAAGCCCAGTGTCTCGGGACACCCCCTCCCACCATTCCCAATTGCTAACCTGGGGGGAAGGGACAGGGGAAACCCGAGGGTCTCGCGAGGTCTCAGGCGGTGACAAGAGCTGGGGACAGAAATACAGAGAGTCAAGGATGGGGAATGGGAGGCAGATGGGGGGCTCCCCAACACAGGCTCGCTGTTGGGGGGACGGAGAAACGCCTGGACGTCTTCCTCCTCTCTGGTGTTTTCTGGGGGGGTGATGGGAGCAGTGAAATGGGGCAGCCAGAAACATCAAATATGGCAGGAGCTTCCGGGGTGGCCTGGGAGGGGAGGGCCAAGGGCGGGAGGAATGGGCTGGGTACAGCAATCAGGAGGTCAGAGGGTGAGTGAGGGCAGGCCGATGAGGAGGTCAGATCTTGGGGCAGGGAGTTCAGTCAGCCCCATCAGCTCCGGCCATCATTTGAGTTCGGTGAATGGATTTTGGTATCATATGCAAGAAAAGCAAGGGCCTCACCCACCCCACTGGGGTCCCCGGCCTTCCCCACACACTCTGCTTTACCCTCCATCCCACCAGGAACCCCTCAACAAAGGTTAAGGAATAGAGGTCTAGGTTCAAGCAGGGGTGGGGGGAGATGGGAGGAAGGGGGGAGGATTGATGAGATGGACATGGAAGGTGATGGGGAGGGTGTAGGAATGGCATGGAAGGCAGAGGCACACAGCCCCTCTGGACTAGCAGCCCAGAGCCTAGGTTCTCACGCCTGTCTGCTCCCAGTTGGCACTCTCTGGAGGTCTTTGGAATATGGAGGTTCCATACAGCCTTAGGCTGAGAGTAAGGATTCTTCATGTGCGTACATTTCTAAAGGAGGTGCTGTGTTGTTTCTGGAATGAGTAGGTAGTAGATAAACCCCTTCTGGCAACTTCTAGTCATGTGTAAGGCAGCAGCTAGCCTCGCCCAGCGCTGAGCTTTCGGCCCAGATGCTCTGGCACCCCTTCCTTCCCCCAGTTCAATCATGCTGTCCTTCCTGTTTTTTGCAGTATGGGAAGCAGAACTTAGGGTGTGCTAAGCAAGTGCTCCACCACTGAGCCACACCCCAGCCCCTCTGGGGGATTCTAGGGAAGAGCTGTACAGCCAAGGGACCAGCCCCCCAGGCTTTTCCGCACCCAGGGCCTGTGCACGTGGCCTTTGGTCCTTTCAGGTCTCATGTCACTTTCTCAGACAGGTTTCCCGAAGTTGGCTGTGGCGGTACCTACCCCCAATCATAGCACTGTCCACACTGAGAGAACACGTCAAGTCTGGGAGCGGCTCAGAGAGAACCTGAGCCTGCCAGAAAAGTCCTTTCCTCCTCATGGTGGGGCAATGTAACAGCTACCCCTGCTGTGTCCCAAAGTGTAGTAGCTAAAACAACAAGAAATTTGGGGTGGGGGCAGGGTCTTGTTTTGTAGCCCTAGCTAGCTAGCTTCAGTCTCACAATGGCCCTGGCCCAGCATCCCTGTGCTGTGATTACAGATGTGGACCACCACGCTCGGCTTTCCTGTCCCTCTTGACTGGCCACTGGCCTCCGACTCTTCACCCTTTCATCTCCACAGACCTGGCTCCAGCTAGGTCCCCATCCTCTGGTCCCGAGATGATCATCTAGCTTCCTTCCAGCCTCGTGAGCTGCTCTCTTTATCCATCTCCTGGCCGCTAGCTTGGCCCGCTTTCCTAGTTCTTATGTCTCTGTCTCTCCTCCGCTACGTCTATATCTGTTCTCTACTTGGCCCTCAGAGACCAAGTCTGCTCAGGGTGAACCCAGCTCAGAATCAGGGAGAACTCGCCTGGCTCCCTCACATCCTGCACTTAAGAGTGTCCGGGCACACAATCCATGGTAGTGACTGGATAGAAAATACCCAGAGAGGGATGTAGACAGGTGAAGGTAGGGTCAGCAGTGGGGTGGGGGATGGGGGTGAGCAGGTCAGAGGTGGAAGTTGGGGCTGGGTTAGTTCTGGAGTGTTAGTGAGGACTAGGCAAGTCCTGGGGTGACAGTGGGGTCAGTGTCAGGAACTGGGTGCAGCTGTCCACCATGGGTGAGGGGCTCGGTCAGTGGGAGAGCATGTTCTCAGAGAGGTTAGTCAGAGGTACGGAGGGAAGGGGAGTCAGGAGGGGCCATGGTGGGGAACTACTTACCCTAGGGGGAAGGGGGCTCGTCCACTAGGGGGATATCCAGGCCGCTGCGTTGGCGTTGAGGTCGGCCAAGAAGCTTGGGGGGCCTGGCTTACGCCAGTATGGGGGGGGCAGTGGGGGAGCACCAGTGGCTGGGGGGTGAGGGAAGAGGCCGGAGAGTCAGGGTGGGTGGGGGAGATGGAGATGGAATAAACACAGGTGAGGAAACCTGGGGCTCAAGGGGAGGGGGAAGGACAGGGAAGAAGGCAGTTTGGGGCTGAGGGGGAAACAGAGGAAAGTCCGGCACCTCCCCCATCCCCTCTCCTCCCTCCCCTGGGCTGGGGAGAGAGGAAGGGTCTCTGGGGAGCCCCTGGAGGGCACCTCACCTTTTCGGATGGAGCCATCAGGGGAAGGGGCGTAGTCAGTGACAAGGAAGCAAGCTCGGTCCCGGCTGTAGCGACCCCGGCTTCCGGGGGTGATCGGGCTCTTGTCTTCTGGAGACATGGCTGGCTGGTCGATAGCGGGGCAGTCCTCATGGGCCAATGCAGCTGCTGCAGGGTCCCCATTGGGGCGGGGGTCTACTGCAAGGTGAGGGGTCACAGACAGAGGACAGAGACTGAAGGGAGAAGGTGACAGCGAAGGGCACTGGAGGGACGGAGATTCAAGAGTGACCCTGGGGGCATGGGATACAGGGTTGCTGGGGAGATGGCTGGGGAGAGTGGGGAGGGCAAATGGGATCGAGGGTGTGGACAGAGACGAGTGCTAGAAAGTGGCAGGTGGGCTTCGTGAGTATCCGGACTGGGTATTGGGAGGGTAGCTGGGGCTGCTGTGGTTATGGCAGAATGGGCATGGTAGTGCCCACCTATCGTCCCATCACTCGGAAGACTTAGGCGGGAGGATTCTGAGTTTGAGGCCAGCCTGGGGTACATAGTGAGATTCCCCCCAAGAAAGAACAAAAAAACAAAACAAAAAGGTGGGTGCTGGGCACAACCAGCATCAAGGTGCCGAGCGCTGGCGGGGGACAGGGAGGATGTCACGGGTTGTAAAGTGGTTGCTTAGGGACAAGTGTGGGGTGCTGCAAAGGGCAGGGTGGGGAAGGGCTGGGAAGGTGAGGGAGGGTGAGGTGGGGGTCCCCTAGGTTCTGACTTGATCTATTTTTAATGGATGGGAAACTGGGTCAGTGGCTAAGGGAACAAGATGGGGGGCCGGGCAGACTAGCTCATTTTCTTGACCTACTTAAGGCTTGGGGGGGCTCACCTCCTTCCTCCAGGACACCCAAGTCACTGCCTGCAAGAAACAGAGTCCCCCAGGACACACGCAACACGCAAAATCAGGCACAGCCACCAGCTTTCTTGTCTCCTCCCTCCTCTTCTTGGCCTGTCTCCTTATTTTAAAAAATTCATTTGAGACAAAGTCTTGCTCGACAGCCCAGGCTGGCTTTGAACTCACCTCATCCTTCTGCCTTAGCTCCCCAAAAGTTGAGATAACAGGTGTGCTCCACTAGACCTGGCTGACTCTTCTGTAGCAAGAACTCTCTGGAGCACTCTGGGGATCCCTGTCTTTCCAGGTCCTCTGCAGACCCTGCCTGGCAGCTCTGCACCCTGACTGTTCTGCCCACAGAAGCCGCTTAAGTTTGGCCCGTGGTCTTCGCAGGTCTCTCCCTTTTGCCTGCAGGTGGGTCCTGAACGCTGTCCTGCTGACCGCCCACTCCATCTGTCTCCCTCTCTTAAACATGGTGGTATTTGGCAGTGTTACTTTTGCCAGCTCAGGCTGCCAGTCACATACTGTAATGGCGCCCGTCCCTAGCCTTCCTAGGAGTCAGGGGAGACTCTGGATTTTACACGGGTTCCTTTCTGAGACAGGACCTCATGGATCTCAGAGTGGCCTTGAAATCCTGATGTTCCTGCCTCTTCCTCCTAAGTACTGGGGTTACAAGCATGCATCGCCATGCCTGGCTCTCATTCCTTTTTCTTTTTTCTTTCTGTCTCTCCCTCTCTCTCTTCCCTTTTCTTCTCAAATACAAATAGGAGTATCTCTTTCTTAGGAAATTGTCTCTAAGAATGGGAGTGGACTAGTGGCCCAGGAAGCCACTCAAAACCATTCTTTGCTTGTTTTCCTGAGGCAGGGTCTCTGTATGTATGTAGCCCAGGATAGCCTCAAACATGGGTTGACCCTCCTTCCTCAGCCCCCAGTGTTGGAATTATGAGGGAGTGCCATGGGCCCTGCTATCTCTCTTCCCCTCCACCCTCCTTCCTTTCCCTTGCTCTTTCATTTGAGACAGGGACATGTAGCTCAGGCTAGCCTGGAACTCCTGATCCTCCTACCTTTACCTCCGAAGTATGGGAGGTACCAAGTGCCTCCAAGGGATGAGAGGCATGCCCCACCATACCTGGGTTTCCGAGTTTCTTTCTACAAACACTCTCACTATGGCCTCACTCTCACAAGAGCCTCTCAGAGCAGCCTGGCTACAGTTCCACCTTCAGAAACTCTCTTGCACACGGAGGCCTGTCTCTATGGCTCCTCCTGCCTCTTCTCTAGCCTTCCAGCCATTTGTCCTTTCTCCGTCTGCTGTTGCCTCCCACCCCACTCTGCCTGACCCTAAGAGACACCTTCCCCCGGGTCCCCCCACCCCCCAGTCCTGCCCCAGCCTTACCTGCTCTGTTGGTTTCAATCACCTCTTCTTGAGCCAGTGGGCAGGGCTCACCAGGGGCTGGCAGAGGAGGCAATCCCATGATGCCCAGTCCCCCAGCACCACCCCTGAGCAGCCCAGGGTGTGTGTGGGGTCCAGGTGGGTAGGCCCCAGCCACAGTCACCCCCATGGAAGGAGGGGTGATGGGCGGTGGTGGGCTGATGCCACCGCTGCCGTGGTGGGGGTGTGGTGGGGGTGGAGGTGGGGGGTCAGGCTTGCAGTAGTTGGGTGAGCCAGGCTGTGGAGGCCTGGGGATGTGTTTGTTTTTCTTCTTTGGCAATTTCTGCTTGGCCATAGCCAGTGAATAGTACATGCCGAAGTTGTTGACAATGACGGGCACAGGCATGGCAATGGTCAGCACGCCAGCCAGGGCACACAGCGCCCCAACCAGCATCCCAGACCATGTCTTAGGATACATGTCTCCATAGCCCAGGGTGGTCATGGTAACCACAGCCCACCAGAAGCCGATGGGGATGTTCTTGAAGTAGGTGTGGTTGGAGCCCAGGATGTCATCAGGGTCGGCACCAATTCGCTCAGCATAGTAGATCATGGTGGCAAAGATGAGGACCCCCAGAGCCAGGAAGATGATGAGTAACAAGAACTCATTGGTGCTGGCCCGGAGTGTGTGGCCCAGCACACGCAGGCCTACAAAGTGACGGGTCAGCTTGAAGATCCGCAGGATGCGAACAAAGCGGACGACGCGTAGGAAGCCCAGCACGTCCTTGGCAGCTTTGGAGCTGAGGCCTGAGAGGCCCACCTCCAAGTAGAAGGGCAAGATGGCCACACAGTCGATGATGTTCAGACTGCTCTTGAGGAACTCCACCTTATCCGGGCAGAAGGTGACTCGCATGAGAAACTCAAAGGTGAACCAGACCACACACACGCCTTCCACGTAGGTCAAGAAGGGTTCTGTCTCCACCTCCACATTGGTGATGTTCTCTGGGGGAGCCCCAGGGATTGGGGAGGCCTGCGTCACCGTCTTGTTGCTGATGTGGATGAAGCCCTCGTGTGTCTCCAGGCAGAAGGTGGTGATGGAGATGAGGATGAAAAACAGGGAGGCAAAGGCCACATACTGCAGGAGGATGGGAGAGAGAATGGGGTGACCAACACATTTGCATCACTGGAGTCTAAAAACCCTTCTAATGGCCTCCCATTCTCCACCTCAGGGCCATATCCCACGAGAATCTAAGTGTCCCCACTTACTGGTTCTGCCACTTCTAGCAACCCATTCTGAGAAAGGAACAGAGGCTCAGGGCAGGATTGCCACAGCTGACCCAGGGGAAGAGCACTTGCTGGGTTCCATATCAGAGTCCCCCAGGAGGATTCAGATAGTCTATTTGGGGATGGGCATGAGAAGGATGACCACACTACTCATGTCTCAGAGGTGTGGGACTCCACACGGAGCTGGGGAAGGGAGAGGGCAGGTGGGGACACAGGGCTTTATTTCTGTGGCACTCGGGATGCAATCCACAGCCTTATGCAAGCCAGATAAGCACTTGGTTCCTGAGATACATCCCTAGCCCTCTAACTTTAATTTTGATACAGGGTCTCACTAAATTGACCAGGCTGGCCTTGAATTTGTAGTCCTCCTGCCTCCTGAGTAGCTGGGATGACAGAACTGCATGCCACTAGGCCCATCTCAAAAGCCTGGGTTTGAATTTGTCGAACTGGAGCAAGGGTTAAGCTTTCTGGATCTGAATTTTGTTTTTTAATGGAATTGTTATGAAGATTTGGTGAGTGTACAGAGGGCTTGCTTCCAAAAACAGTGCTTGGCTGAGTGCCTGGAACACAGTGAGATCTGAGCTGTTACTAGGGTACAGTGGATCCGTTAGCTGGGGCAAGGATGAGGGGGTCAGAGATGGTTGGGGTCTAAGGACCCCAGCAAGTGAAAAATAGAGACCTGGGGGCAGTTTGGGGATGGAATGAAAGAGTGGATGTGGGGGAAGCTGAAGAGGGAAGAGGACTGAGAAGCCTTGTGGGTGGGGAGGGTTATGGTTCTGGAGAGGTAAATTCAGGAGCCTAGACTTTGGGCCAACGTCCAGCAACTAGGGAGTGAGTAGCTTATGCTTTGTCAAAGTGGGGGAGACCCAGAGTCTTGCTACATAGTAAGAAAGAGGGGGCTAGATCAGGATCTGGAAGAAGTTGAGCTAGGGTGTCAAGGTCCTAGGGATGGGGGGGCAGTGTTGGAAAGAGAAGGGTGCTGTGGGAGAAAGGCATGTGCTTGTGGGTCTGGACTTTTAACCTCAAGCAAAGGCCAGAGAAGGGGGCCAAGTGGGGGGAATTTGAATTTGAAGTGGGAAGAGGACTGAGAAGCCTTGTGGATGGGTACGGGTTATGGTTCTGGAGAGGTGAATTCAGGGGCCTGGACTTTGGGCCAGAGTCTAATAACTGGGAGGTGAGTAGGCCCTGGGCCTTAGGGTAGGCTAGGAGAGTGGTCAGTACCATAGACCACCGACTTGGTTTCTCTGCAGTGGAGAAGAGGCCAGAGGTCTCCGCAGAGCGCATGCCTGGGGCCTCCCCGCCCCCAACCAGCAGGCTGCGGTACTGCAGTGGGGGCGGGTCGGCCCGGCCCGGAGCAGGGCGAGCGGCGGCCAGTACCACGGACAGCTCCCCCGCCGCAGTGCGCAGCCGCAGTGGCCTGGTGGCCTTAACTCCTTCCAGGCTGAAGCGCCGCAAGCCGGCGCGCAGCCGCAGTACCTATGGCTTCGGCTTCGCAGTTAAAGGCCACCCGGCCTATAATTTGCCTAACCCCTTCCTCCCAGGAGCCCAAGGAAGGGTGGGCACCCGCTACAGTGCACAGGTGCAGGGTTGGTTTCCCCTGAAGTGACTCCGAGGGTACCAAGGCTCTACAAAGAAAGGAAAGCGGAGCCGGGAAGGTTGGACCCTGAGCTGGAAGGTGGTTTGTGTTCCCAACTTGCAAGAAGGTCCACCTGGAGGTTGGAAAGTACCGGGCACACAGCGGATATTCAAATAAACAAACAAATAAAGAATAAGTAAATAAATCGGTGCAATAAATAAATGAGTGACCTTCGTAGCCATTCTGGACCCCTAGCCTGACCATCACCCAAAGACTTCCTCACAGTCTCAGCACCCTTCAATGGGGTCACAGGAAGGAAGGGCGCCCCAAGCCATCGAGTGGGGGAGGAGATGCTCGGAGGCCAAAAGGAGCATTTGGGGCCATGTCCCTCCTGCCCCTCTTTCTTTCCCTTCCCCCCAACTCAACCCCAAATGTTGCCAATTCAGCGCTTCTCAGGACTAAAACTTTATGCGAAGCCTCCGGTCCCCCCCCCCCCCCCCCCCCCCCGCCCCAGCCCGAATGCGGCACTGCGGCTCTGCGTCCTTCCCGGCCCAGGACGCGGCGCGGTGGGGGCGGGGGGGGGGAGAATTGGGGGGAGGAGTGGCTCTCTGTTCCCCACTTTTGCTAGTGCCCTCTCTTTTCCTGAATTTACCCACCTGGCTATGCCCACACACCCTCCTCCAGGGTCTCCCCACCCGGAGGAAGTTTAGGAAGAGGGATAGCTCTGGCCAGAGCTATCAAGAGGGTATCCAGAAAGCCTGGGAAGTTACCGAGGCTTACAAACTTTTCCGGGAGAGGTCTTTGAGGGTATCGAGGGGTTTCTAGGATTCTGGGTTTACATCGGGGGAGGCAAATATAGGAGTGATTGTAGGGAGAGCTTGAGAAAGGGGAGGCAAGGCTGAGAGCAGAGAACCCAAGAGGGGGTGGGGGTGGGAATTGAAAACATCTGAGAAGTATCTGGACTTGGTGGTGGGTAGCAGGAGACAGGTCTCTAGATTGGAGGGAACTCAAACTTCTGAAAGTCACTTAGAATGAGAAAGTACCTGGGGAGGGAGAAATGGATATGGGAAGGAATCCCAGAAGCAGAGAAGTGTGCAGTTGGGGGGAAGGGATACGCTGCCAACTGTGGGCAATTCGGGAGGGGGGAAGAGACACATACTGAGGGCGCTAGAGAGGAGAGGTATGCTATGGGGGCCCTTTTGGAGACACAAGAGGAGTGGGTCCTGACTGTGGGAAGTCCTTTGCAGGGGGTTGGTGAAGAGGGTGAAAGAAGAATCTGGGAGAGGAGTTTACAAAGGGACCCCCCTCACACACACACACACACCTCCGGACTCAGCGTTGCAGCTAGGTCCTGGGGAAACTGTCCTGACCAGTAGTTTGGAGGTTCAGTGAGGCCCTGTGGGTTCTGTAGGGGCGGGGATCTTCTAGAACTTTGAAAGCTAAGAGCAGAAGATCACAAACAGCCAGGAGGTCCAAAGTTAGAGAGAAACAGAGATCTAGAAGTTAGGCCTAGGGAGAATGAGGGGGGTGCTCAAAGAGGAGTTGGAGAGGGGACTTTAGAGAGTCTGGGGGGGGGGGACGACGACACGGGAGGCAGTGTTTTTAACCTTGGGACACCGAGGATCGGGAATAAGTAAATGGCTTCGGGATGTTCAAGAAACGGGAAGTTGAGTTTTGGAGAGGCTGAGGACATTCTGAGGGCCTGAGACATTCTGAAGGTCTCAGAGGGTGTGTGGGAAAGGCGGGGGTGAACTGTCAGGGAACTCCAGGAGATTTTCTGTTAGGGAGCCATTTCCCAGGATCTACGATTACTTGGAGCAGTGGGTTGGAGTTTGGAAGGCCCGAGAGACGCTGAAGGTTCGGGAGGGGTGTGTTTGTAGAGGCGCAGGGAACTCCGGCTGCAGGGGGAAAGGGCTTCCAGAGGACTGGGGAGTCCGGGGGTTGGGGGGTAGACTTGAGGTGGAGTGTTCCGGGAGCAGAGGGGTTAGGATAGTTAAGGGTGCTCGGAGAGCGCGCTCACCCTGGCGGCCCGCGACGAGTAGGGGTCCTCGAAAAGCGCCCACACGCGGGGCTGCCAGCGCCGCCACCACGTGCCGCCCGCGCCGCCCGCGCCCCCGGCAGGTCCCCCGGCGCCTCCGCCCGCATCTTGGAAGCACAGACGCTTGAGCTCGCCGCCTGCTCCGTCCAGCCCTCCGCCTCCGGCGCCAGCCTCGTCGTCCAGGCCTGCATCGTGGGCACCTCCGGCGTTGGCGGAGTTGGCTGCGCCGGAGGAGTCGGGGGCCTCGAAGGAGTCGAGCGCCTCCTCTGCGTCGCGATGCTGGCGGTAGGTCATCCAGCAGCAGGCCTCCACGTCCGTCTCGTCGATGCCCCAGAAGCCTAGCTCCTCCTCAAAGAGCGGACCGCACACGTCGGCCGGGCAGTGCAGCTTGCCGGTGCGGTAGTAGTTGAGCACGTAGGCGAAGACGCCCGGGTGGCGGTCGAAGAAGAACTCGTCCGTACCCGGATCGTAGTCGAAGCGCGCGGCCGCCTCGGGCTCAGTCAGCCCGGCCAGCCGGGTCCCCGGCAGGGTGCGCAACGTGGAGCGGTACGTCTCATGGCGCACGCCGCCCACGTTGATCACGATCTTACCGCTGTCGCCGCCGCCGCCGCCGTGCCGCCCCATGGCCACCGCCGGCAGCCCGGGGCATGGCTCGGCGCGCCGGCCCCCGGGCCCGCAGGAAAGCGGGGTACCCGCCGGGGACGCGGCGGGGCCGAGTTGCGCGCACTGCTTCTGCAGCGGCGGCGGCGGAGACTCGAGCGGCTGCGGCGTTGGTGCCGGTTGCGGCTGCTGCTCCTCGGCCCCCTGGCGCCCGCGGAACGACCAAACGCACACTGAGCTCAGCATTAGACGGGGAGGTGGGGCTGGGGGCGGGGCCGCAGGGGCGGGGCCCTGAGGGAAAGGTAAACGTGATTGGGTGAGAGGAGACGATGAATGGATGAGGAGGGCGCGATTGGGTAGGTGGAGGGAGGACAAGAGCTGATTGGGCTAAGGGGCTGGGCGGGGCCACAGCTAGACGGACTCCGACCATGCCTAGCTAGAGGAGGTGGGGTTGCACAGAAGGTTCAGGGATTGGATCGTACCTAGAAGAGGGCGGGGCGTCAAGGGAACCCTAAAAATGCCTAACTCAGCAGCCCAGCGAAAATGGAGACCCTGGAGCCAGGTATGAGAAAGAGACAGGTGCGGTGGAGACAGGGGGATCAGGAGTTCAAGGTCATGCTACAGAGTGAGAAGGAGTATGTTACATGAGACGCTACCCCCCACACACACACACAAAAAGAGAAAAAAGACCTGATAGGCTGTTTTTTAAAAGGGAGGAACCACAGGAGGAGAAGCTGACGAAAAGAAACCAAACTGGTCACTGGCCTAAAGTCCTGGCAGGCAGTACCTATATTGAAAAAGCAGATGCACAGGGAAGGGTTTGATTAGGTTAACAGTGATTGGAAGCCCAAGAAATCAATAATCTTATTGGTCCGGGACAATGAGAGGAAGGGTCTCACTTAGGGGCGGGGGCGGGGGGAAGACGACCAGAACTGGAGGTGGAGATGGAACCTGATTAAATAAAAAACTGACAGAAGACAGAGAAGGGAAGACAGCAGGACAGTGGGAAGGGGTGGAAGGAGACGCCCGGGAACTTCTGAGTGGAAGCTAGAGAGGAGGGAGACGGCAAGCTGTAGAGTCCAAGGGGGCCTTAGGTTTGCTATCCTGACTCCGTCTCAGCCTCATCCCGGTAGCTGGGATGACAGACATACATCACCAGGTCCTGCTGGAGCTGCAAAATTGGACTTCGTTAGGAAGAGGATCCGATGGATGGAAGAGACACAGGTAGATAGATGGGTAGGGTCTGTAAGGGGTTGGAAACATCTCAATGGTCCAGAGGAAGGTGGGACTAATAAGTGGGTGGCAAAGTGGGGCGTTAAAAATGAGCATTCAGAGCTCCGGGAGCCGCTAGGCTCATGGGATGGAGAACGGGGAATGAGACACCTGTTAGGGGAAAGACGCTCACTGCTTCTCTGGACATAGGGGTGGGGGTGGGGGGTCAGGGCTGGAATGGAGAGATTCGGTGTCAGATACCCAGGGGGATGGTCCACGAGGCCTTCGGGAGGGGCAAAAGTTTCCAGCTGGTGGAGGAAAGGGAATGAGGCCTAAACCACAAAGACTGAGGACAAGAGGGCCAAGAGATGGGTAAAGGAGTGGGCGCCGGTACATGAAGGGTGGAGCGCAGCCGGGAGAGCCCGCTACAGCTTCTCAACCCCTGGGATGGGTGGGCCAATGGAAGGGGCGGGGTTATGAAGGAAGAAGGGAGGAGCCGGACGAGAGACCACACGCCTGAGCTGTCAGGCCCCGCCTCCTGGGCGGTCCCAGGCGCCGGGACCGCAGAACGCTAGTGGCTGCAGCCGAGGCTGCGGCGGGAGGAGGCGCCTGCAAGAGCGGAGAGGGCGGGTCAGGGGCTGCGGCGGTGGCTGGCTCGTCGCCTCCCTCTGCAGGCGCCGCCGTGCGGGTTCGTATTCCCACCCCAAGCCCCGTTCTGCTTAAGTGTCCTGTCACCTTTCCTCGGTTGTCTCTCCTGTCCCCACCACTCTGGGAATCTGGTTCCTCCGCCTCTGTCTGTCTCCGTGTGTGAGTCTCATCCTTTCTCTTTGGGTCTTTGTCTCCCTCCTCTGGCCTTAGTCCCTCTTTCTCTGGCTCTTTGTCCCTCTCTCTAGGTCTCTATCTCTTCCCCTTTGGGTCTATGCCTCTCACTCTGGATCTCTGGATCTGTCTCCCTTTCTGAGGCTCTATCGCCCTCTCTCCCTGGGTCTTGGTTCCTCTTTGTCTTTGGGTCTCTGCTTTGGCCTTTGTCTGTCTTCTCTGGGTCTCTTTCCCTCTCTCCTGCTGGGTCTTGGTTCGTCTCTGTCTCTGGGTTCTCCACCCACCCCAGTCTCACTCCATCCTGGCAGCAGGTGAGTCTGCGGCACTGTAGAGTTGGGGAAGTGAGGCCTGTCCTGCAGACCCACCACAGACCCTCGAGTCCCTCTCCTCTGGAGCCTTCGAGATTCTGATGGACCCACCAGGGCAGAAAATAGAAAGAGGCACTTACTACCCACTGTGTACTCCTAATTCTGGCATGTTACTTGCTGTGAGGGGGTGTGTCCCAGGACAGTTGGGGACAGGGTCGCAGGCTGGCCCAGGGTTTGGGTATGCATTAGAGGATGGAAGTATGGACTGGTAAAAGGACCTAAGTCACAATCCTCTGTCACACCTCACCTCCACCCCGACTTTCTGCTTTTTACAGAAGCCAGGCACAGAATCCAGTTACCAAATAAATCTGCGTTTTGTTTTGTTTTTTTCCCCAGAGGTCAGACATGGGGATGAGGAGGAAACAGAGAGAAGACTATGAGGTTAAAGGTGGGGATAGAGAGCAGGCAACAGTTTGAAACTCATAGAGCCCTGGGAAACTTGGGTATCTCTCAAGGCTTCCCTTGTTGTGGAATATTTGTTTAACTAGGTAAGGATTTGTTTAACTAGGCAAGGATTTGTTTATGCTGCATTTGTTAATTATGTAAAGATGTGCTGCTGTTTCACCTTGTCTGCCTAAGGCACCTGATTGGTCTAATAAAAAGCTGAACAGCCAATAGCCAGGCAGTATAGGGATAGGTGGGGCTAGTGGGCAGAGAGAGTAAGTAGGAATCTAGGCTTGGGGAAGAAGAGAGAGAAAAAGAGAGAAAGACAGGGAGCCACCTGGGGCCAGCCAGTTAGCTGCCAGACAGACAGACACAGAGGAAGCATGAAAGGTAAAAAGTCCTGAGGCAAAATGTAGATGAAGAGAAACAGGTTAAATTAAGTTATAAGAGCTAATGGGAGCCGGGCGGTGGTGGCGCACGCCTTTAATCCCAGCACTCGGGAGGCAGAGGCAGGTGGATCTCTGTGAGTTTGAGGCCAGCCTGGTCTCCAAAGCGAGCTCCAGGACAGGCACCAAAAACTACACAGAGAAACCCTGTCTCAGAAAACAAAAACAAAAACAAACAAACAAACAAAAAGCTAATGGGACAAGCATAAGATAAGGCTGAGCACTCATAATTAATAATAAGTCTCCATGTCATGATTTAGGAGAGTCATGAAAAAGCCTGCTGCACTCCCCAGGGCATGGGGAGAGGGATTGGTCATTAGAGAATCACCACCCTTTGACCATAGACTGGATGGGGCATCCAGAGGGGAACAGAATCAAACTGAGTTTAGGGGATGCAGGAAGGATGTCTGCCCACTTCTTGAGACTTCTCAGTCCTGTCCACCTCACACATCCTCATCCTTTCCCTGGACACCCTCTGTCATCCCTGGCGTCCCCTCCTGCTGCCCCTCCCCTATTCCCAAAGCCAAGTCACTAGAGGCCAGTTCTCCCCCTCCTGGACTTCTAAGATTACTTTTTGCTCCGCCCCCTACCTCCCTTCCCATTAGTGCAAAATCCAAGAAAGAGTCTCAGTGAAGCTGAGACTGTGGAGACTCACTGCCTATGCCTCCCTGCCCGCCCCCCTCCCCCTCCACAGCTGGACGGTTCCCTCCCTCCCCCCCCAAACACAGCTGGGCGGTGGTGGCACATGCCTTCAATCCCAGCACTAGGGAGGCAGAGGCAGGTGTATCTCCGTCAGTTCCAGGCCAGCCTGGTCTACAGATTGAGTTCCAGGTCAGCCAGGGCTACAGTAATCCTGTCTTGAAAAACCAAAACCAAACAAACAAAAAACCCACAAGTACCTTCCCCCCCCCGCCCCCCCCCCCCCCCCCCCCCGCTCCCAAGCTCTGAATTCAGGGGGATCCTTCCGCTGCAGTCTTTGGTCCTGCCTGTCTCCCGAGTCCCCTGTCTCACAAGCTGAGCTATAGACTGTCTTTCAAGCCCAGAACTTGAGCCCCTGGCCCCTCCCTCAATACTCACCCCAAGTCTAGGCGAGGAAGGAACTGAAGGGATCTGGCGGTGGGGGAGTGGTGACCAGGCCCCAGCACCTCTGGGCAGCAAGGGACTGCAGGTGGAGGCTATGACATCCCACTGGAGGAGGGTCTTCAAGGTCCGCCTTTATGACAGACCCAGGGGCCCTGGAATCCCCAGGGAGAAGGTAGGACACACAAGGTCCGCAGGATGGTGACCTCTCTCCTTAAAACAAACCCTTTGTCGACTTCACCCCCACTGCCACCTGTCGCTGTCATCGTGACTTGTCGCCTCCCACATTTGTTGTGGCTGTGGCCGCCCTCTGCGGGACGCCAACAGGGAGAGGACTACAAAATCCGTGATGCTCCGCGGTGAGCGGGCCTTTGACCACCGGTAGTGGAGGCCAGAGGCTTCATGGGGATTGTTGTTCCCGGACCTCTCGCTGGCGGGCTGAGCGCGAAGTAGGATGCTTCTCTTCCCTCCCACCTCTTTCTCAACTCCAGAGGTCAGACATTCATTTTTCCCTTCCCGAAAGTGACCAAAGTGGGTTCCTTCAATGGAAAGTGGATTTTTTTTTTTAATTGGAAAGACGCTAGCCTCCGTGGCCCTGTACCCTGTGCATGTACCCTAACTAGGCCGTCCTCTGAGGAACTGCGCCTGCGCAACCCTTCTTTCTTCCGGTCCCGTTGCACGAGACCGAGCACGCGCCAGACCCACGCGCGGGCCGATGTTTTTGTCTCCTCGGTCGAAGACGGCCACGTAGGGCCCCAAAAAGACGTCTCCGAGGATCCAGAGGGGTCCTGCAGGCTTCGGAATGTCCAAGGCCTGGAAGCCCAGCAGGCACAAGCCAACCTCGCTCTTAAGAATCTGCAAGGTGACAACACGGAGGAAATTGGGTGTCACTGGAATCCGAGTTTGATTGATTGTCCCCTCTGCACCCAGAAGAGGAC